TATATATATATATATATGAAAAATATATAAATTTTATATATTTTTTCGAGTATTATTTTTACAGCGGCTATACAGTGTCATTCCTTGGATATATGGGGCTAAATTTTGCTTTTGTTTCATGGAACCAAAAGCTTGTCTATTCTTGTTGTATTTTTTTTAAAGAAACTTTAAAAAAATAAAATCAATGTAGTTGTTTTAATGTATGTTTTGCATGAAAGAACAGTCAGAGACTATCTGGACAAAGTGTTTCTGACAATCTTTTTCATTTCATCTATATTACTGTCAACATTTGTTACTCAAAATATTTTTGAATGTCATGCAGTTAGTATTCACTAATCTTAAAATAGCTAATACTCATAGACAGAGATTTTATTTATCCAGCCATTATTCATCAATGTCCATGAAACTTTCATACGATTCCATCCCTGCTAAGTGCTAACATAACAAATCAACTGAAAAGATGTTTCAAATCACCAAGTACAAGAAATTTCCCCCCACTGAGAGCTGGAAACATTGACTGGGGACAATTTTCACCATCCCGTAATGGATCACATTCACCGGAAGAAGCTATTCACACTTGCCTTTGAGTCTCAAGGTAAATGCCTGTAAGGACAAGAGAACTGCCCTGAGTTTCTGCTTGGTTTCTTCATCTGTCAGCACACCATCACTGTCAAACTTCGATGGTGGCTGGAACGCGTTCAGGAAAAATTCAGGTTTGTTAATGAAATGAAGATCAAGGTAGACTCCTATCTGTCGAAGGTGATATTGTGCTCGTCCTCCACCAAAGCCACCTCCAGCACTCACGATTGCTGCTGCTTTATCAGCCCAAACATTTGGAGGTCGAGATGCCCAATCAATTGCATTTTTCAAGGGTCCTACCCAAGGAGCAGGAAATGATAGTTCATTAGTACCAAGAGTATTATCACAAGAAGCAAAATCCATCAGACTATTCGCACTGATGTATTAACAATGTGCGTCTATAACGTGTACGAGGATTGTCTACAAACTAATCTAGCAACCTATTGCTACTTGCATGTCCAGAGTCTAATTGATGCTTATAAACTATAGGGCTTGGATCCAACCTGGGCAACCAAATCCTCCGTTCGTATTAAACTGTACAGGCTATGATTTACTTCAACTCTTATGGTCCACCCATTACCATAGCAGATAATTAGACTCCCAGCTACTACTATGTAATTGGTTTCTTAAACAGACCAGAAATAGTAGCTAACAAACACATAAAACCCAATGGTACAACTAGATGTGGCAAAATGGTTAAAAGAAAACAGTTATCCACCCATATTATCTATTAAAAAATAGATTGAATAATGAAAACTTTTTAAAAGCGGGATCAATCAGAGATTTATAATAAAATATTTTCCTTTATAATAAGCTCATATATATACTCCAAATTGTACCAAATTAAAATAATAAAGTTAGGAAAAGAGTCACTCTCACTCTACGAGAACCATATTATCCACTTAGAAAATGGTTAACCAAATGGGTAATCAATGGATAACTAATGTGCTTCACTTTTACATTTGTAAAACCTCAAATTGGAGGTTCCTCAAGTTTGGGAGACTAGGAATTCTCCCGTAAGTAATCATATTCAAGAAGCCATGGATAATATGAATATCCATATTATCCGCTGGATAATCCGTTTTTTATCCGTCTCAAATACGGGTCGGGTCGGAGAATTTATCTGTTTTTTGAATTACCCGCTTCGACCCGCTCATATCTGACTTGACCTGCCCGTTTGCCACCCCTAGTACAACACATTTAACACTCAATTTTCCAATCAAAAGAACAAAAGAGAAGAAAAACTAAATATTCGTCATATCAACCTGAAAGATGAGCTGTTAAGATATCTTTCAAGCACCTTAACTTGAACAGTTCTTTGGGAGTATTGCAAATGTCCACAGATGTTGGACGTTAAGTTCTAGCTATAACCACATTTATTAGTAAAAATTGTTTTACAACCAAATACATTTAGATATTCCTATCAAGTTCTTAGTTTTGCTCTTATTGATCTCTTAAAGAAGATCATCCTACCAATAGCCTGTGTGAGATAAATATCTTGGATAATATATATATTCATGTTACTATCATTTTGTGCTAATGAGAAACTTTTTCTATAGTTTTCACCATGTACAGCTTATTTGCTATCACTTTTTATAAAAGAAGCATCTTCCCGGTTCAACCTCCATCAATAAAAGCTAAAGTTGCACAGAATAAATCGGCATACTTAATTAGCAATAGTGATCATGGTTCCTAATTCACACCAAAACCACTAATCAAATCACCCATATAGAACACCAATTATTGTCACTTTGCTAGCTTTCAACTTTTTCTTAATCCTCTTTCCCTTTATTTTTTTCTAGTATTCAAAGCTCTGTGCTCACCAGATAAGCATCATAAATCATCATGCTTGGCGTACAAGTCTTCAGATTCTCCGTACATAGAAGTCGAAATAGCACTAAATTGATCAGATCCAAATTCCAAAACAATTAAATCATAAATTAGAAATTTCAATCCATAGTTACCATCCAATAAAGATTAAAGAATAGCTATACTCATGTTCAGATTCCTAGAGCCGAACTAATTATTATACGAGGAACCTTGCTACTTACTCTAATTTTTGCACAGATTTTGAGTATCAAAGTAAGATTTTCAAAAAGAGTAATCATTTAAAGTCTAAATTAGCTTCAAAATAGTTAAGTGGAGCATCAGTTAGAGAAAGTGAAAAAAAGGGGTAAAATTAGGAGGGGGGAGAAAAATGGAATACCAGTGACGGAGTAATTGTACTCGGGAGAAGCAAAAAGGTAACAATCTGCTTCTTCAATTTTCTTACGAAAAGCCTCGACAACGGCAGGATAAGTTCCGTTGACCTCCAGATCAGTGTTCAGAAACGGCAGCGGCGATATGTCGACGTACTCAATCTCCATTCCCTTTATTGAATCCTTGCATATCTCCATCGCTACGCCCAATTACAATCAAACATCAATCACAATATGAGTAGCAATTACAAGCACCAAATGCAAATGGTGAAACAAAAATTTTAAAAAGGAAACGGAGAAAAAACAAGTATACCGGCAAGGAGGAGACCACGATTATAGGAACCTTTACGGAGGGAACCGCAGAGCCCAGCGACTTTGATTACTGGTTGAGATGCCATCACCACTACTGCTTGCATTTACACTCCCGCTATTTTTTTCCTTTGTCTTTTTCTGTCTACTACTGAATTCTCGGAGTATATGTTTGATAGCTTTTCATAAATTTATATAGGGGAAGTCCGAGAAGTTTTATTTCGTGTGTCAACTGACACTAGTCGCTTTTTTATCTCACAAACTAGTATTAGTACTCTCGCGATGCGCGAATACAAATTATGTCAAATTGTAATCTATATTGTTTGAATTATGTGCAAATAACCTTAAAATATAAACCTTTCATATAAAAATTATATAACATTAAATATTAATTTTGAAGCAAAATATGAAATTATTATTCAAATTTCGTAATAGACAACTTTTATTTTATTTGTAGCAACCTAATCCCTTGATTTTAGTACTTTTATTTCGTTTCGGTATCAATATTAAAAAATACTAAATATGTCATGTTGTAATCTGTGTTGTTTGAGCACATTATATCATATTATTTTAAGAAATTTTTTATTATCACTTTGTTTTTGACTGAAAGTCAAATATGTCTTATTCATCACATCATTTTATGCAAATTCTTTTTTATTTTTGTTCTTTTCTTATAGTTATTGTATTATTTATTAATTAATATTATTATACTGACATATAATTTTTTATTAGCTTAATAATTTAATTAATATCTTGTTTATTATATTTTTAATAGTCTTTAATAAATATAAATATTTTATTCTTGAAATTTGGTATATTTGTATGCTTGTATCCTCTTATTCGGAATTTTTTAATCATTTAAATTTATTAGTAATATTTTTAAATATAATTTAATTATTTAATTTATTTATTTTTCAATTAATTTAAAGTATAAATCACACTACCTTTATTTTTTTACACATCTCTTCACTACTATATTTTAAATAGTTTTTATATTAATATTTTACCTATAACTAAAATAATATCATATTTTATTTTAAATTTTAACTTTGAATTAGTCTAAAATATTACTCCCTCTGGTCCAAAATAAGTGATTTTTTGGTTGTTTTCACACATATTAAGGAATTCATCTTTTAACATTAATTAGCAATGAAATTGACCATATTAATCTTTACTATCTCTTCACATAAACACTCCTAACACATACTCCAACAATAATTACTCTAAGGGCAATGTAGGGAAAAAAATAATTAATTCATTCTTAAAATCTGGAAAAACCACTTATTTTGGACCACAAGAAAAAAGCCAAAAAATCACTTATTTTGGACTGGAGGGAGTAATACATAAGTTATTTGATTATTACGTTCCAAATATATTGAGTTCTCTTATAATTATTTTTGTATTAGATGCAGTTAAATTTTCTTTTTTTTAGCTAAAGATACAAATTTAATTTTTAATTATCATTAGTAAAATTACCTATATTAGAAATTAATTTATATTTTTAAAATTTTAATTTAATCGTAGAAAAATATTTCTTAATTGTTTGAACAAATTATATCTATATATTGTAGTAATATTTTTACTATTTTATTTCTTTACATGATATTTTCAAAAAAAAAATATGAAATAAAAAAAATCTCATCTTAAATTTAAATAATTCTTATCATTCTATGTTGTAAATTGGACCACATTTTCAAAATATTATGCTATGCTTTCAAACTTAAACTAACTGCACTCAATTCAGATATTAATCATAGGAAAATATTTTCTTAATTGTTTGAACACATTATATCTAAATGTTGTAGTAATATTTTCACTGTCATTTTATATCTTTACGTAAAAAAATTTCTTTTTTAGTTTTAAGATTCAAATTTAATTTCTAATTTTCATTAGTACCTATATTATGTATTTTTAAATATGTATTTGTTTTTTTATTTTTCATAAATAAGACTTCAATTTCGTGGTATTCTCCATAGTTTGAGCATTCTCAACATAGTTTCAAGAACTTTCTAATCTCAAATTCAAATAGTCTTTCCCTTTCTTTCTAATAGTAAATTTTTAATAATTTAATATAATTTTGCTATTTTTAATCTAATATATAGTTTTATTACGTTTTATGTGGATTTTCATTAATTTTAACTTTATTTAATACCATTTTCACTACTATTCTTTATATAATATAGATAAATATACATAAATTTTTGTAATCATAAAATAAATATTTATTTTGTTTAAAAAATATTTCTCGAAAATTTAAACTTTTTTAAGTCTTGTATATTTACATTTATTTTATTTCTAAATTTATGATTTACAAATTTCCTCACATTATCTCTAATTTGTTTTTATTATTCAATATTTTAGTTTTTGATTTTATCTATTAGACTTGAGTTATGTGGACTTATCCATATTATGACTTTTCTTATCATAATATGAAAAAATTTCTCATCTCAAATTTAAATAAGTTTTACCCTTTTCTCTATGATAAAAAATCTGAATTTTAATTTTTTTCCCTATTTATTCTTTATTTTTAATATTATATTATTCAATAATTAATATTATTACATTGTCATGTGAATTTTTATTAGCTTGTTTGAATTTAATATCCATTTCTACCACACTCATTCTAATATAATATTGATAAAAATTTAAAAACTTTCTCATCTCAAATTCAAATAATTTTTATCATTCTATTTTCTAATTTAGACCGCAATTTAAAAAAGTATGTTATGCTTTNATATATATATAAAGATTGGATTTGTCTAAGATCTATTTGGATTATGTATAAGATTTATTAAACTACTTTCATTAATTATGTTTCCATTTATAATTTTTAATTATTAATGTTGTCCTAAAATTGCCAAGTGGCTTCATTTTAACTTTCCACTTGGTTTAACCACAATGCATACTACTCTCCTTTTAATATAATATAGATGTGTGGATCCCAATCTTATATTTTTTAATTCACGAAAACAGATGGCCTGACGAATGGGATGGCGAGCCGCTGTAGGTTTTTAAATCGGACCGTCATTGTTGACTAGTCATCCCCGTCTTTTGACTTATTCTTACTTTATACTTTTTACAGTAACTCATTACTCAAATAGTTCCTCAACTATATAAAATTATTTAATAAAATTATCTTTTTTTTGTTCATAATAAAAAGTGACTTAACTATGTCTATATCACTCATAAGGTCACTCAACTGAGTTTCTTACGTGCATAGAATATATATTTTTAAAAAAATTATTTTCTTTCAGTCTTAATTTTGTAAATAAATTTTTGAGTTTTTGTTGTTAACATCAAAATTGTTATTATGAACAACTTGTTCTAATTAAATTATTTACTATGCTCAATATATTATTATTCCAACATGCTTAGATACTATTTTATTTTCTATTTTATAGATAAATTTATTTATTCTATAGGGAAGTCCACAATTTGAATTAAAAAGAGAAAAATTGATATAATTTAAAAGTAAAAAAAATATACAAAAGTTGATAATTTAGAGGGCAAAATAGGTACTTGGCAATCAAAAGTTTGAGAAATCTGGTTGAGTGACCTTCTGAGTGCTATAAACATAGTTAAGTGACTTTGTTGTTACAAAGGAAAGAAAAATGACTTTAGTAGATAATTTTGGATAGTTAAGTGATCATTTGAGTAATGAACTCCTTTTATGAAGAGACAATGATCAACTGGTTAACCGATAATTTTGTAACTTAGCAACAGGATAAATTAAGAAAATTTCACCCAATTTTAAATTTTGAGATGAAATTAACATGATAAACAGTTTTTAATAAATTAAGTGTTAGATATTTGATAACTACAATGAGTGGTAGAAATATCAATTTCATCAGAGAAATGAAAAAAGAAAAAGATCTCGTTGTATAAAAGATATTCAACAATTTAAATGTATACACAAAAAAAATATATCCGAACAATTTTTGATGGGGGATTCAGTTCAGCAAACGTAACTCCTCTACGGACTACAATGCTACAACTTTATAGCTTCCAAATATCCATCACAAAATAATGAAAGTGGATATTTAAAAAATGATACTCAAATGTCAAATGAAAAAAACCATATGTAACTATTCTAAAGGTTATCGTCCGCCAGTTTTTGTCCAAACATACAAAGTCATGACTGCTGCCTTTATTATTCTATTGTTGTTGTTATCTTCAAATTTTGAAATAGCGTGGGAGATCTTTTCTTAAGAAACAAAGGCATGAAGAATGCCGATTGCCGAAGCTTGTGGGTGTTCACCATTTTGTACTGTTCAATTATAAGAGAGAATTTGAAGTTATGTATCGCGGAAAATTTGGTCAAAATATAAAAATTATCATGTGTATGGGTCGAAATCTGACCGAACAAAAATCTGTGTAAAGAAGGACGTCAAAGTTGTTAGTAAACTGTATTTGTAAAATAATTCTAGAAATATAAATGAACATAAACAGAAATGAACATAAACAGGAATGAACAACGAAATAACAAAAAACCAATTCGAACCCACTGAATTCACAGTGTTTCCTTAAGGAATTTAATCCCCTCCTAGTACCCAAGGCTATGGATTATTTCCTCATAGGATAGAACGAATTACACACTGGTGTAGTGGTACTTCAAACCCCAGTGTTTCAGCGAACACAAAGTTCGATAGCAAATCACACTTACTGTTGCTTTGTTTCAAGCCTTATTTGGATTTGTTCGTGATAGTCTTCATTGATGACATTTTGATCTATTCCCGCAACCGGGAGGAGCACGAGCAACGTCTCAGAGTGGTTCTTCATACCTTGAGGGATAGTCAGTTATATGCTAAGTTCTCGAAGTGTGAGTTCTGGTTGAGTTCAGTTGCATTCCTGAGTCATGTTATATCAGCATAGGGTATTCAGGTTGATCTGAAGAAGTTTGAGGCAGTCAAGAACTGGCCTAGACCAGCATCAGCTACAGAGATTCGGAGTTTCTTGGGATTGGCAGGCTACTATCGTCGGTTCGTAGAGAGGTTTTCATCTATCGCAACCCCGATGACCAGGTTGACCCAGAAGGGTGCTCAGTTCAGATGGTCGGACGAGTGTGAGGCGAGCTTTCAGAAGCTCAAGACAGCTCTAACTACGGCACCGGTGTTGGTTTTGCCCACAGGTTCAGGGCCTTATACAGTCTATTGTGATGCATCTCATATTGGACTT